TTCATGTCATTTCTCAGTGATCCATCTTCATATTCTTCATTCCCATCATCTCTGCTCATTCCAACCGCATCGTCAACCTCAACCGGTCTCCACCCTTCAACATCCCCGTGGTGACCGTCCCGGTCACTAACTCAACCACCACCACGGCGACGCCGCTTACCACCGATGTCTACCCTTCATCTTTTTCTTGGTGACTCTTTATTCTGCGTGTTCACAACTGTTCACTAAAACTTTAACCTTTTTATAAAACAAGGTTATTGTGAATGTATCTCAACGGAACATTGCGTTCCTTCATTGATCACTTGGGGGAGCCGACCACGGCGTCCCTCTACGCCTCGGCTCCACTTTTTCTGCCTCCCAGTACAGACTGCGTCTGACTTCTTGGAATCTGGGCCCTGGTGTGCTCGTTTGTCCTGCCATTCACATGGCCTAACTATTGTGGAGCAACAAAACTGCTGCCACAGCGACTCATGCAACGCCATGCACGAGATTGCGCACTACGGCGTCGTGATCGGCCCGTTCTTGTCAAGAAACTTCCACTCTCTTTCCTCTTCCGATCTGTCATAATAAAAGGCTTACATGTTCTTGGAGCACACTTACCGCTGCGGTGTTTCCCGCGGACGGACTTGTTAGCGGGGCGGGATCTAGGCTCCCACCACAACGGGAGTTTGCCCGAATGCCGCTAGATTTGCATTGGTCCTAGATTCGGGGTCATAAAAACGAAATGAATGTTCAAGAATCTGTAGTTTGACTAACCTACTCTATGCTATTTGCTAAATTAAGCGCTCAGAGCGCGCATAACTAACCATAAGAATAATATTTTTTCAGTTCCTTACAAAGATCATCAGTATTGGCATCATCCCATTTTATGCATTGATTTTGACTTTCATGATATATTTCGGTAACGCTACTGCGATCATGTTTGCTACAATCATACTGGGTAAGCCATTGCTATGTAGACGTGACAAGTAAACTCTGATCAAAAGCTCAATTTCAGGCTCGGTAGCAATAACAACGATTTACGGGGCTTTTCGAGGAAGCAAACTTTGCCTTGTGCCTTTCGTCTTTTTACAGGTACGTCACGTATGACGTCAAAACCGTAACTTATACATTCGGGTGAAACTCCAGTTCGGGGGGGGGCCACTCCATTTTTTCTCCAATACTCAAGATAAGGATTAGAGGGCTCACGACACGTAATCGACTCATTTAAAGTAGACTTCTGATAAATATTGGTGTAATGGGTGAGAAACCCTGAAACGTTTTCACATTTCCGCCTGCCATGACCCAAGGAAACGGTCCTGGCGGAAGGAGAATATGGGGCGGAAGTGGTGCAGTGACAAGTGGCGCGCTCACCACGCGAGCGGTCCGGGATCAAATCCTGGGTCGTGAGTCGCCCGGGCCAACCAAGCCTTCCATCCCTCCGGGGTCGGTTAATTGGTACCAGACTTGTCTGGGAGGATAAAAACACTGACTTGAACATCGGCTGGCCCCCGCAAGTCATTGTATAGGCCACATCGCATTCAAATGCCACTGCGAATGTACAAATGGAAGTAGAATGCGTGCCGCATCCAAAAAGGGATTGATCAACGGCAAATGCTTTATCCTTTATTTATTACCAAAGGAACGGTCCTGGACCAGGAGAAAGGACACCTCCGCAAAGGGCTAAGGGTGCAGGAGCTCCAGGGTGGATCACCTGTGCAGAAAAGTGGATGGGATGTGGGCAGGTAGTGTGGAATGTAGGACATCCACCGGTCCTTATCAAAAGTACGCTCGAAATGAGTCGTTCACTTATTATCTTATCCGTAGTGTTCGATAGCCCAAAGAACTGCTCTCTAGTACTACGGATAAGATAGCAATGGAGTGGCCCCCCGAACTGGAGTTTCACCGCGTTTACATTAATAACTTCGTATTCGTAAAAGCTATGCTCAGACCGTGAATGGTGCCCACTGCTCCTCAAATTTTGTTACCTCACTCTTAGGTGCCGATCTCGCATGGCGCTTCTTTACCAGAAAGTTTTCATATCTCGTTTATAGTGACTCCTGCAGGATATTTGTATACATGACCTTGCCGCTACTTGCTTAATGTACTGGTTGCTAAATGGACGAATACGTGACGCGATTGCAGCTATCTCAACTTTTCTATTCGTGCACTTGAAGGTGTAGTTTATAATGGAAAGGATGGAAGGAGCACATTAGGAATCAGAGTAGGAGATCAGTGGTGAGGGACGAAAGAAGAATCCTTATAGGAACATCGCTCGGAACCTGGGCGGGAAATGGACCTTTTTCGGCCCGGTTGATTTTGCATTGATGCTGTCTCTTGTACTAACTCATCGATGCTACCTCGGCAGTGCTAATTTCCTCTCTAAACGGCTAGCCAGACGACAACGAGAGGGTGGGCGGGCAGCGGCGACAGCGGCGCCTGGACGGTCATGCTAGATTGCCGGGGCGTATATTTCGAATTACTGTCGACCCACACCTTTGGAGGATCTGCACGTCTTTCCACTAGATAAGTTTCACCTTGTTCGATTTCCGACCTGATCGTGGAACTCCTTCAAGGACTTCAAGCATGAACAGACCGGTGTCCTAATAATCCTATTCCACTGTTGTTTGTCTGGAGCGTAACATTGTGAGACGTCCTAAAACTTTGAGTGAAAAGCGGCACCATTTGACATAGACTCCTTCACTTGCCACTCCCAACTCGCAGAGTAGCTAGAATAAGTTTATATTCATATTTCAACACAGTGCCCACATAAAGCTGAGGAAACCAAAGTAGTGCTTATTCTGAAGAGAATCCCCTACAGATGGGATCTCAATTTCATTGATTTTTGTAAAAGGTGTTCAAATGTTGACAGAAGAATTTGATGAATTGACTGGTTCGTGGAAATGCTCATGGCATTGTGTTTACTTACTTCTCTTGATGCTTCTATTTGTCAGTGGAATGTCCACTCAGGGGTGAGTGGCCAGGTATACCAAATAACGGTCCGTCGACCATGCTTGTGATAACAATGCATCTTTTCTTCACCACCGGGGGCTGAGTTTGAATCTGACATTATTCTCTTCGGGGCGGAAGTGGTGTAGTGGCAAATGCACGCTTACCACGCGAGCGGTCCAGGAATCAATTCCTGGGCCTTGAGTCGCCCCGGCCAACCACGCCTTCCCTGTAATTCGCGTTAATGGTCCAGACTTGTCAGAATTGCGACCCTTTTGGCAACCTCCGCCCACTTTGGTCAGCCCCGCCCACCATGACAGTGGCCTCCACTCCTCCACCCACCTCTATCCACCTTTTCCCCGGCCTCCGGGACTTGTTGGAGCCGAGTTATGAATTTTCGTCGCAAACTCCGCCCACCGATTGACAGCTGGCCTCCACTCCTCCATCCACGTTTTTTTCCAGTCTCCGGAACTCCTTGCAGCAGAGTTATGAATTTTCGTCGGAACTCCAGCCACTGGGGTTCAAGCCCCCGCTCCATTTGATGACCAGCGCGCCTCTAACCCTTCCACTCTCATCCCACCTTTTTCCGACTCATTAGTACTTCCCAGCCGAATATGAGCGGGACTTTGTATATAGAAATGCGACTGTACAGTTCCCAGAGCGCGCACCCATTGTTGGGCAGGCCTCCGCCCACGTCATGTATGCAGGAAACACCTTAGACATTGCTCCCTTACACCAAATTGTTTTCTGCTCTGTAGGCTTTCTCCCAACCGAGTTATGAAATTTTTCATAAAGCACTGCTTTTTTGGAGAACGCCCCGCCCACCGGGGGTGGGTCTCCCTAATTCGATGTGACTTACCAATGCACACCCACCCACTTTTTGGCCCAGTTTCAAGGTCGTTTTCTAAGAGAGAATTGAAAATCTCGGTCGTCAGTACACTTCATGTCGACGCACGCCACGCCCTCTGTGGGCGGGGCTCCGCTTAGCTGATGTGTGTTTTGTATTACGTGAGACCCTTGCCCACCCATCCCACACTTGACCCGGTCCCTCCAGGCGGATCCCGAGGAGCTAGGGAATTTCGTGACAGACATACAGACGACAGACGACAGACAGAACGAAGCGCTTTATAGTAAGTAGGATCTTTATGTTTTTTTTTTAAATCAAGTTGACATGCTGCATTGCATATCAAGCCGCTACGTCTTGCCAACCACTTCTTTACACGCATTTTACTCAGACATCTTTAGAATGTGCAAAAAAAACTCAGAAAAGAAAACATTCTCGTAGGTTAGATCCATCAATTTCCTTCAAACGCTTCTGCTCCTAATTTAGGTGGTATTCCTTTATTTACGATTTCGTTCTTCTCGGTTTGTTCTCATTCGCTCTATTTCGAACGGAACAAGGCGAATCACTGGTAAATGCTGTTCATGTGGCTGATTCTGTTCCACCACACATTGGTATGTTTCTCATTTCCTTTATGCCTAGGCTTTTTCTCATAAAATTAGGTGACTCTAGAAAACTAAATAATTCTCTCAGAAAGTGGCACGACAAAGTGAGCACCCTAAACGAGTTGTAGACTTTTAACTGTGAAGGTGCGCTGTTGGCGTGACCGACGCCCGCTCAATTTTTACGATTGTCTGCTCATTTCACGAGCTTTCAAATCTGCCAGGACGATCCTGTTCCCAGGGATACGTGCCCTACCGATTTTAGAGGACAGGGTTGCATAATGACCGGCTATTGAGCGCGTGATGTTGTAGTCATCCTCTACCGCTAGGCTTCTTTTCTATGAGGGGTCGCGCTGTCAGAGTACTAGCAAATCGCGGAACGGAATAGTGGGCTGATCTATGACACAACCACTGGTCTCCCCGCAACTCAGGAGCGACAGGATCAGCATGCGAGCCGGAGTAATCCCTGTGGGGAACACGGCGGGATGCCGGCGCCCCAGCCTTGTGCCCATGTATTTGAGCCGTTCAATGCGCGGTGTTCGGTAGAAGTGGTTTCGCTGTACATCTCTGCACGGATGTTGCCATAAAGTGCGCCATTTTTCTGTCAAACAAGAGCGACCTAATGACAACCGTGACTCGTACCGCACGCGTTGAGGGCTGCGTACCGTAATAACTTCGTATAGCATATCCTCAGGACGTGAACAATAACGGTCAAGAGGCCGTTGACCATGGGCTCAGCACTATGTGGGATTAGCGTAGATAGCGAATGTACGCACAGATAGCATAGACGGTCCGCGCATGGCAAGCAAATATCCGCGCAGGTGAGCGTGGCATGACAGGCAAAATTCCTCGACGAGTCATCGACGAATCCTCGACCGAATTATCATGTCCATTGGCATTGTCGAACTGCGAGCTAAATGCGAACTCATTGCGAGATGTGACTGCGTCTGAGCTTTCACGATCTATATCAACATGATGTAGGAAAGAATATCGTGATCAAATGTAGACGTACTCATTAACAGGCGTTCCGTAATATGCTTTTTACAGGTTTTTGTTATTCAAATAGCAGGGGAGTATAAACAAATTTTCACTTCAGTACTACCTGGTGACACCAATCCTTCTGCTGTGTGCTCTACCACCGATCGTTTGGTAAGCGTATGTGGTCTTATCTAGCACATTTATTCATAGCCGAGCTCAGATCGTGCGCGCCTCCGAATTCATGCTTTTTGTTCTGAAGAGCAAGTTTGGGGTCAGAGCGAGCCGGCACGCGCTCTCTCTCGCGAACTGACGTCTTGGAAACAGCCGTGGCAATGTACAATATACAATTCTGTTTTTTTGTTTTGTTATACTCAGGAAGGCTTTAATAAACTGTTACGTAAATGTTCCTAAGTACAGGATCGTCACTCCGTGTATTTCTACTTCTCACTTCACTTCCGCAGTGAGTAAGCGCTAGTACGTATATAAAAAACAAGATATAGGCTTCGAGTGAGAAGTAGAAGTATTAAGTAGGCCATAGCAATCGATGTGGACCAAATCCATTTCGGAATGAGCCATTTATTCGGCGGACTAGCTTTTGAAAGGGATCGGTTCTATACAATGACTTGCGAGGAACAGCTGATATAACAAACAGCGCATACATCTTCCCAGACAAGTATGGTGCACCCCAGAGGGATGAAGCCGTGGGTGGCTTATGGATAGGAGAATCCGTCCGAATTTTTTTTGAGGATGGTGGAAGTGTCACTTTGCCACCATCGCCCTTGACTGATATATGGTGTTGCACAGCAACAGTGGTGAAATGATGGTAACATTAACATTGTGCTATTCAAAAATTTCTCTAATAATCCCTCCCCCCCACTTTCCACCCTGTTCCTCCTAAGGAGATCTCTACATTTCTATCACCACCACACTTACCACCGCAATTGTTTCTATAGCAATTGATTCATCAGACGACAAACTCCATTCTGCCCATAATCGCCCCCCGAAAGTGTTGTCGAGCAGGGGAGACGTGTAAATACATATGGTTAAAGAAATGGCAGATGTTCTACGTTCGGTTATGTCATGAATTTTTCGTTAGAAAGTGGCCTAAATGGTTGAACAGAAACTGTCGGAATGATCCACTCCCCCCCCCTCCCGTCCCCCACCAGCATTGCAAAACAACCTCTCAACTTTTGCCACCAACATCCTTCTGAATTTCTCGAACATGCCCCCTTTCAGCAGTTGCACTACCCTAGAACCAGAAATCTAATTTGATAGTCTCAAATACGACTCTCCCCGTTACCATGGCACAACGGTGAGACGGTTGACCCTGACTGCAACCACTAAGAGAAGATGTTAGCTCAAAAATTGTTCTGTCACATCTTTTCGGGAGCCCTGCAGTTTCAATACAAATGCACCTATGCCGTTTGACGACAGTAATTTAAATACAACAGGACGGAAGGCTGTCAAAAAAACCAATATGCGATCGTGTGGTTCACGGTACCTCAAACTTGGGTAATTAAACTTTAATAACCATTTTTCTAACATATATACAATATAAACATAATGTATGTAAACCAAGACACATAGCATCAACTACAGGGGTTTATATACGGAGCATAGTATGAGTTATTCGAGGCGCGAGACAAAATAATGTATGATAAACTATGTGAATAAATGGAGCCGTCAAAGCATTTTCTCTTATACAAGACAAAAGTACATTTTGTAGCAGAGCTATTCGAAGCGTAAGACTATGTGACTAAATGGAGCCGTCAAAGCATTTTCTCTCATACGAGACAACACAAAGGCACATTTCGTAGCAGTACTATCTGCTATAACCAATGTGGCCTGTATTTCTGAAGTATTGACCACTTGATTACTCGTTTCTATACCTATATCGAACACCATTCCTGAAAGGAACATTAATCGGTTGCCATGAATTTTCTTCTGTTCAGTTTCGAGTTTTTCAACACATTGACGACATTGAGACACCTTTGTGCATCACAGCATTGT